CCGTTTTAGTTGGTTTATAACACCGGTTGTCACTTAGAAAGAGTCCGCGTTTTAAACAGTTAAGAATACTTTAATGTGAACCGATGTTTTAGTTACGATATAACAGCAATGGTCAAGGGGGCATACTTACAATTATTACTTACATTACAACATTTGACTGTTTAAATTACAAAATATACAAGTTAACTAATATGTTTTGCATTTTAAACAGTTTAGAGTATGTTATTTAATGTCTACCACTCTTAAACTATAGACACAGGTATATTTTAATACGTGGTAATAATATAAAACCTCAACTCATCTGTACTATATTAATACTATAACAATATCACTTATCGCTTCGAAACATATTGCTTCAGTTTATTGCTCTGACACTATCTTACACATTCATATATTATATGTCATAAGAGATATAATTTCCCGAGATAATTTCTTTCACGTGATCACATAACAAATACCTTAATCGTAGAAAGGAAAATAAAATTAATATCGCGATATATTTACATATCTCTAATTGTTTATTACTGCAATATTAGATACTAGAGGTCATCGACTACTTAGGTCGGTTGTATTAAGTGCAGCTAGTGCCAGGGGGGGCAGACCAGTTTGATTCTCATAAGTAAATATCTATCAATGCAATTAAGCAATTGTATGTAACTGTTTAAAACGCGAAAAACATTGAAATAAAACATTTTAACGGTTCTAAAGACGATATATTTTAGTCTTACTTATTTTAACTACGGCCCGATGTTTCTGGTGCTTTGTTTTGTCTCCCCGTCACCACGGCTGCTGCAAAGCATTCGAAACGAAAATAATTTTCAAATAAGTTTAACTAATATATATATCGGGTTTTAAACCGTTAAAGTGTTTTATTTAAATGTGTACTGCTTGCGTAAACTACAGATTGTACGCAAAAAATATTTAACTTAATATAAACTACATCCCAAATTTTGGATCTTTGCAGCACCCGTGATCATGGCTAATTATTTCGCGTTTTAAACCGTTATAAATGTTTATTGAAATGTATATATACCGTTACTTAACAATTTATGTTAATCTTTCCGGATCTAAGATCTCCTGCGCTGTTATACGATTGTACTAAAATGTACGGTTAAGTTATTGTCGGTCAGGTTTCAATTTAAACAAATTATATAGATATACAGATCCTTAGTTAATTTACTATATTATTAGAAATCAACATTAAGTTAGATTTGTAACTTTTATGGCTTATAAACTGGTTCGTTACGTTACGGGCTACTCTTTCGTATCGCTTCCCTTTCCCATCTTAAATACTACAACTTAAATTAGTTTATCATTTAATACATTCATTAATGTCAGTTAAAGTAACAAGAATCATATTCTTTACAGTATAATTATCGTTTATACATAACTGTAATACTTTTATACTTAAAAATTCTACCCACTCCTTCTTTGTATTTAAAGTTCCAATAATTTTCCACATAACCTGTAAATAACGATGAACGCTCCGCTCCATTTTATCATTTTTCACAATCACCACATTGTCTCCTAACCACAAAAATCTATCTCCACTTGTACTAACCCTGTTACAAAAAATGCATCACTATGGCTTAGTAAACACGGTAAAAATATCACTGTGACGTCACATCGGTTGCCATGGTAACGGGACAACACAAATTTATCACTAACTTGGTAATATGATCACCATCATTTAGTCATGAAATCCAAGTTTTAACCCCCCGATTTTTCTAACCCGGAGCACCCTGATAGGTCGAGGAATCTTGGTCGTCGAAACCCTCATCGTTGTCAAGTTCCTCTGATGCGTAAGTGGTGCCCGGTAGAAGAATGTATCTGGCATCTCTGAAAAGAGATAGAACTATTATAGTGTCTCTGTCCTTTGTACACTTACATAACTAATACACGTAACTACATAAATGTACTCTACAATATTATTAACTAATTAGTTATATTAAAAAAGTCTAAATTCTTCCAATACCGTATGAACCCGATAGATATTGGTTTCGCCGTTTATGGCAAATCTTCCTTGAAATAACGACTTTCGCTCTCACGGACTTTAGTAAGAAATTTCTTATTATTCGCTTTGTCCAGCTTATAACATTTGAAAGTTTTACTTAGACTTTTTCAAGTTAGTCATTGTGCGTGAGGTACATGTATCAATAGGTTGAAAAAATTCGACGATGACATGTAGGGCACGGTAGTTCAATTCAAATTAAACGCTGTGGATGCCAGTGCAAGTCTTGCCTGGCAATTGTCGGGTTTAAATAAAACACTTTAACGGTTTAAAACGCGATATATTAGTTAAACTTATTTGAAAATGATTTTTAACTTCGGCCCGACGTTTCGGATGCTTTGCAGCAGCCGTGGTCACGGGGAGACTAAAGATGGAGGATGTCTCTGACGTCAAAGTAAAAAATTGCTACGCTAGCGCCATCTGTTCCGTCGAAGTTGGTATTTGGCGAAACTGGCCGGGTCCTTACAGAATTGACTAACGGTGTCTTCGCGTTTGCTGGGTTTATTGGGATCCAGAGTTTTTAATATGGGATCCCAGGTGTTTGATAGTATGAATTTCTTTAAATTAATTATCACTTATTCATAGATAGGAAGATTCATAGTTGTATAAAAATTTGTACTGTCATATTACTTAATTGAAATATTAATTAGATAATTTTTAGTTAAATGAACTATAAGTTTAAAAGGCCGTCCTCCCTATTGAAATTTCGGGTTTAATATAATATAACATAAAATGTCATTCATTGTAGTAATTGGGCACCCCGAGATGAGCACGTTTATGTGTTCATTTATATTAAAAAATGCAATGTGCAAAGTCCATTCTATATTTATTTTATGGGCCTGGTAAGCAAGTTAAAAAAAATGTGTACTACTCGCGTAAACTATAGACAGTATTTAAGTTTAAAAAAAACTTTTTTTATGGATTATGCGTAGATAGCCCCGACGCCACCAATAATAGCCGGACGTGTTTGCGGTTAGATCATGAGTACCCCGAAGGGGGACATCGGCCTCGATTCAGACCACTGCACTGTGAATGCGAACTTGAAGAGCTGGACGGATGCTCACCTACTGATGTATACAAAACAATCTTTTAAGTGTAATCTGTATACCAGTAATACATATTTAAATAAAAAACTTTAAACGGATTAAAACATGTAATATATTAGTTATGCTTTGCAGCAGCCGTGGTCACGGGTCCACGTCAAGCGTCAGAAACATGATTAAAATAAATCGATTAATACATTTCACGTTTCAAACAGTTGAAAGTATCCCTTCTCAAATACAAAAAATCGCTATTCCGGTTGTTATTTTACTGTTGTTGGTTGATATCAACATGTTTATTTAAAAAATTCATAATTTTCCTTATAGCAATACAACATATTTGATCTACATATTACACTGAGCGATCTTTGCTTTGACATTTACATCACTCTAAAATTCGTCTTATTTACTGCAGCGTAAAGACCAATTTGCCTTACGAGATAGTCTAATCTCGGTCATTCGCTCTTGCACAATTCATATATTTACATTATACTTTTTAGTTCATTTGCTCGAGTAAATAACCACATGACACCTCTATACATACACCTTATCTTCTGCTAGTAAATAGTTCTGCTATTGTTCAAAGAGGGATAAGATATATGTATATGTTTTTCGACCTGTATCTATATCAACCCTACTTTAACTTAATAAATAATTATCATACCATAACGACGACTAGAATACTTCCTTTTTGCATAACTAATAAATTTAAAATTAATAAATATGAACGGATAAAATGAATGTATTTTTGGCTCTCAGAATTAGAACTTTCACACACACGCACAGATATAGCCTCACTAATCGCATGTTAAAATCTATCAGAAACATCCAACTCTTCAACAAGATCTATCTGTTCAAAAATTTTAACATAAGTTATTGTAATAAGAAATAAATAAATAGTATAATTTATTTGTTAAGACTATTTCAGAATCAGTTCTGCAATTTCATTCATAAATAGCTAAACACAATTTTCTCCAATTTTTAACTCTTGCTTTGTTATTTTATCCCTCTACAGTTAAAAGGCACTTAAGGTACTGTGTGAAAGGTGTACTTTTTAAAGTTTTGTGTAAAACGTGTCAACTATGTGTAATTGTGTGGTGGGGCGAAAAATCTCTCTTTTAAAGGCGAGCAGTCCATGGCCAGTGCGACCGAAAGTATTGAGTTGTTAAAACTTCATCAAACCTTTCTATGTAAGTATATATACAAAACGTGCTATCAACTTTAGTTATTTACTAAAACTTCTAAGACATGATATGTAATATAACTAAATATTAATAAGTAAAAATATATTATATTTTTTTACTAAGTACTATTAGTATGTAAATAATATATTGTTCACTTATCTTTAAATTCGCATAAAAATATCCGTTCAAGAATGAGAATTGAAATAAAACAACGCAAAACAAATACTTTTTTATTTTCACAAAAACCTTTACAATACAAAAGAACGAAACGTATGTGTCTTATAATTAATATTATATATAAAGGGGATGAAATTAAAATGCAATATGTTATACACATTTTAATATAAAATGTGTTCATTCATCACAGATCAATACAGACATAACAATTTAAAATTTTAGAATTATTAATAACAATTATATAGAGTTGTTACAACAGTTTTTTTTTATTAAAGAAAGATATTTTATTATATTTTTACAACTCTGTATGATATAACGCTTTACATAAACCATTTACTTTTTTTTTCTTTTTCATATAAATAATTAAAAAATTTATAGGAATGTTCTTTTATACCTGTTATCATATTACGCTTTAATTGTGTATATAAAATCAATATTGTAAAGGATTCGCGACTCTTAAACATAACAATAGGGAATATCAGAGAATATAAATACCTATAAACTAAATCACGCTTCATAATGGAATTTTGCATAAATAAATATAGGAAAACGTGTAAAAATTTAACAATAATAATGGCAGTGTCTCCTCTAAGCCTTGGCGTCCATGTTGTATTTCTTTTCGTCGGCGTTCCTACAATAAAACATTGAATTAGTGTGACATACCCTTTACAAACAAACAAACAAACAAAAAATACTTTATTTTCACCACAATGTTACAAAATAAACTTAATTAAAATTTAACAAAAAGTAGCGAGAAAAGGCGGCCTTATCGCTAAAAAGCGATTTCTTCCAGGCAACCTTGAAAATGGAGATTTACAATAATACATGATAATAATAAGGGTAAACTACAGCTTGTATCTTGTATTGTCAATCCACCGAAACAAATTAATAAGAAAAAAAAGAGATTGTCTCGAGTTTTATGAACACACCTTTACACATTAAAGTGTGTTTTTCTTTTGTTTTTAATTTAAATTTACTGACTTTCTTAAATTTCGATGACATCTTTATGTCTATGTATAATTTGTATCTTTGCAGGTGTGTGAAAGAGACAGTACTCTATTAACTCGTTTCAGTGATTGCTTTTTAGTTCGTGGAATAACTATCTACTATGGTATACATATGATATACTACATAACAGGTCACTAGATGGCACTGTACCACAATTAAATGTATGTGATCAAGAGGTTGAGATAACCTGTATTTTGCAGACATGAAACATGAAACATGACAAACAATTATAACAAACACCATTCTACTCTACGTATGTTAAACATATTCCAATACCAAGCCTAAAGAAGTAGTCAAGTATATTCTATATTAGTACATCAATCGTGACACCATTCTGTTACTCTCCTTTGCATTGTAAGTTAAGTTTGAGAGAAAAGGATAGAGAGACTCAGCGCATGCTCATAGCAGATTGATTATTAACATGCAGCCTAAGAAACCAATTTAAACTACCTACTTAATTTGGCTAAAGTCCTACCATACATACCACAAGTGTATCAAATACGCTTCATCCCCCCAAAGACAGTAACTGCCCAACGATTTCGTTAACTCATCGCCGCGAACGCTTTCGTAATCATTGTACTCTCTGAAAAGTTTTATAGAAATATTTATCATCCCCCCCTTTTTTACCCAAAGCGTTTGCGTGTACCAAGCTAGCCCAAATTGCGTTGATTCGGATGATAGCTGCGTCCGTAACGTCGCAGTGTAACGTGTAATGTAAAAGGTTACATTAATTGATCTGATGATGATTCTAGAAAGTTCTGAACTATACGAAGCAAATAACTCTTGTGTTCATATAATATATTGTATGCGTAATTTTTATATAAAATATGTATAAAATACGTATATATTGTTCTTCTATGTGGACGACATTTGGTTGTTTTAAATTGCAAACCTTGTTTGTCTCTTTAACAAAAGCATCACATCGTTCTTTGTTTCTTGTCTTTTTTCCAATCTCTAAACTTTCTGAGCTCTTGCTTTTAATAGAAAACTTCTATGTCTTCTTTTATTCTTTAATTACTTTTTTCCTCCTCGACTCTGTTGACCTTGGAACTTCCATCTTCCATTAACCCATTTTATATTTAACACCATCTCCCATAAAAAAAACACAACACAAAAACAACCACACACTATCGTTATACAAAACTAAACTATGTTAATATTATTATGTTTAACTTATTACGAAATATAAATGAATTGATATGTTTTTCAGAATGTTCTGTTGTTTAATTGAATACTTAACAATATTTAACTCTTCCATTCTTCCTTAGACTAATGACGTAGGAAATTGATAAGCTCGTAATAAGATTTGTTAGTTTTGAGATGAGACGTTAGTAAGAAAATGAGAGAACCACGATACAAGACCCAAAGTCAGATAATAAATAGACCCAAAACTCTTAAAATTAAAAGCGTGATAGAAGAAATATCTTGATGAAAATTTTCTTGACAAGTATAGTTTTGAATTTGTTAGAAATTAAAGAATGTGATAGCGAAGATAATGCTGTTTTTCAAGATGGTACCGACAATTAATATCTTAATATTTTAAAATGTATGTATGCAACCAATACCCCTTATAATAGTAATTATTGTATATTAAAATATGTCTTGCAATAATTTCAAATACAGTAAGAAATTAGGTTTTAGATTTTTTTTAAATATTACTAACAATGCTTTAATAAGCAAAACATAGATTAATAAGATTTTAAACAGAGTCCCAAGCCTGCTGATTCTCAAAAAGTTATACCAACGACTCGCTATTGAGATGCCATTTGCAATTAATAGTAATAATAAACCTCAAACCGTTACTAATCTCAATATCATTGCTGGGTTAAAAACTTCAAATAAAATAGAAATTTAAGACGAAACGTGGACTTAGTAGATTCGTAAGATAGTAGAATACTAAGCAATATACGCAACATGTAGGACTTGGGACCCCGTTTGTATATAATACCAAATAAATTTCAACATACCTGTAGAACACGTAGTGCTGCAAAATGAAGAAAATGTCGAAGACCAGACTGAAAAGACCAAGACCGAACTTGGTGAAGTCACCGAAGAACGAGATCCAATCGTTGTAGTTGTATGCGTTCAGCATCATCTGCAGGATGGAGAAGAAACCACCGACGAAATCTAGGAAGACGTTTCCGATACTCCAGCCGACTGTCGATTTGCGCTTGTAGTTCATATAAGCCTGGAAATTAGAGAGTACTCTTTGAATTGAAGGTTTAATTACAGCACAATTATAGCGGATTGCAATATGCGCACGCGCCGTTCGGTTTCACAGGAAAGTGGTCGAATGATACTTTGTCTTCTCTTGTAGTTTTATGTTTATGTATGGTGCATTTTTTAACTGTTTTGGTAAAAAACGCACAATTTACACGAAGCTTGATTTTCTCACAAGATTTACAATTTTTTACACCACACATTCGAGATCACCTCAAATTCACTTAGTAAAAACCACAATTACATGTTAAATGAATAAAATAAATTTACTTAAATGGAAAACTTAAATTGGGATGTAAGCAAAGTCAAGGACCATAGAACTCTCACTTATACACGATTGCTGAAAAGCGTTATAAACGTCGAGTAAAAAAATGATGACATAAAGATCGTCATGAAGAAAATCCCCCCTCAAGAAGTGAGGAGGAGGGAGGAAATTAGTGAAAAAAAATATAAAGAGAAATCTACTATAAGTAACTTACCTGCGGAATGTATTTGATAAGCGTAATACACAGTTTGATGTAGCTGCAGTAATACAAGAAGTCCAGGACCTCCACAATTCTGGCGACAGCCAAGCTTCCCGTCACTATGACGACGCAGATAAACACGGACAATATACCGCGACCGGTCATAGACACGCGCTGTCCTGCTCGCTACAAAATGACACCTTTTTAACTCTGTATGATTATTAAAATATGCTTTGTGTGACAAATGATATGTTCCTATAGAATACATCGGTTTAGAAAATTTAAAATTGACGGGCATGTCGGTCTATTGGGAGCGAGTGGTTTATAATCAACGAGTCGTGGCTTCGATTACAACTGTAGGACCCAGTTGGAATCGAAGTTTCTAATCAATGTATTAATGTATGGGTTTCTAATCAATCAATGTACTCTAAAACATGTTAGACTGGAAGCCTCGGTATAAAATGGTAGTAATATCGAAATTTAATCCAGGTCACGAACAACTCCACAGCTCAGCTACAGATAAAATACGTGAAGTTTCGCGATTCGGTTTCTGTGGATTTCTGGATATCCAAAGCTAAATTCGGCTGGCAACGCATCTTTTAAAAATGTTATTCCGTAATTTAGCTGCCATCAACTGAACTACATTGTCTATCGACCTCTATCATATCTGATGATGGTGATTAATACTGCAAAACGTACCTCAAAGAAAATGCACTGTCCAATGGTAATAAGAGTTGCAAATACAGCGTGTAGCGAGAAAAACACATCATTGAGTTGAACGGGAATCAAGCCGCGAGGGTGTCGACTGAAATATTGAAGCTGAAAACAAATATTTAATGCAATTGAGTTATTATGGATGCATGAATTGGTCATCACCAGGGATAAATTAATCATCATAAACCCGATAAAAGTTCCCACAGATGGGACTCAATCCTCTCATGATTGTATATATGGCCTTAAGTGTAGAGTGTGGGTGCTATAAGAAAAATGTAGCAGATAACATATTTCTAATAACTTTAAGATCACACTAAAATGGCTTTGTAGTTAATATGAAAATATTAAAGTTTCAAAGAACTAAACAGACAATTATAATTGGCAGTTATTGAGGGTTGGGTTAAAGCATGTCGTCGTTAAAATATTGCATACTAAACAGGGTCAAGTCCGATTTCAAAGACACTGCATATTCTAAAATACAAAATAACATACAACGTGTAGATTCTACTATTATCCATATTATTCACCTTAATATCCCTTGAGAAGAACAATCCACAGTTGAACAACGAATACATTGTGAATCCCATCAAATTCAGTGCCAAGAAGTCAAAATTCAGCCCGACAACGCTCCTCCTTTTGAAATTAATGTAGATTTGAGGGTAGAACGACACCGACCACGCGACGAAGTAGATCCATCCCATTATGTATGATATCACATATATGGCGTTGGATTGCATCACAGTTATTCGCATAAACACCGAGTCTAGGCTGAAATTATTGAATAACATACGTTATTATATATTTGTAAGCTTTTATTCCTGTTGGTCCTTCGAGCCGGATATTCCATATTGGTATTTTTATTTCTTGATTTAACTTATAGTCTAGTTAATTTTCTTTAGAACTAGTGTTGTTGTTGTGTGATATACAGCTTAATGTTGTGACATTACAAAAAGTAAGTCTTTAATACTAAAAATCTACACAAACAAGCAAACAAGAATGTGATATAATTGAATATCTTGAATATCTTATTATAAAAAAAATTTCGTGAATTAATAACTTACTCAACAATATCGCTAGGTGTTGCGTTAAAGGTCACTTCAGAGTGCCCTGGACTTCTGCCGTATGCGCATATGTCATAAGTTAATTTGGCTGTTGTATTCGGTCGTTCCGTTCCTGGTATATTGATGGTGGGAGGGACAAATTGGACGATATCTGGATGTTGTATCACCGCGGTAATCGCAAGCGTTTCGTTGTATTCGCCACTGGAAGAAATAAGTAAGGCATAAGCACATGGATGTAGCTTTTTGACAGAAGAGGGCAGATTTTCCATATTCATATCACGCAAATTAAGGATTGAGAAGATTTAAATACTGCCTGTATTCCAGTTTCGCGTAAATATCAACTACGACGGAACAGATTGTGCTAGAGTGCCAGTTGTTACTTTTGAAACACCCTCCATCTTTAGTCTCCCCGTGACCACGTTTGATTTAAAGCATCCGAAACGTCAAGACGTAGTTAAAATGATTTCCAAATAACTTTAACTAATATATATAGCGTTTTAAACCGTTAAAGTGTTTGATTGGATTTCCTAAAGAAATTCAGAACAAAATATATCTAAATCGAACAGACCACTAGTATTTATTACCCATACCACTCCAGAAGCAACTGTATTATAGGTAGGTATTATATTTTTTATTGATATTTTTGGTAAGACGAAATTATGCAACTCTCAACGATGGCGAATTCCTAGTCATCTTATGACATACACGTGTAAACCGAGTGATCTTTGAGACCGAAACCACAACTGGATCAGTACCACGACCTAGTTTAATCGGGACTGAGACATGATAGGTACGCGCGTTGCGGTAAGAAATTATGTCTAATGCAAATTTTAATATGATAAACTTATTGTGTAGTAATTTTGGGAATTCTTTGATTGTACATAGAGTTATTTTCTGTTTATCCCATATACTTTATTATTAATTTAATAAGAAAGACGGGCAAATTTTTCAACATATATTTTTACTGAAACATGTTAGACTTGGTCTTGAAATCTGGTTATTAAATGTGGTAGGAAAATAGAAATTTAACAGATAAAAAAGCCGTGAAGCCTAATCGCGTCTCTCAGTCTGTGGTTTTCCGAATATCCAAAACTAAGTAAGTCTACAGCGCACCTCGTTTAGACGTTATAGTCTGTGTACGTACCATCAAGTGCAGTCAAATTAACGAAAAGTCTTTGAGCTCGTGATTTCTTTTCTAGGTATTCAAACTCTAGACTTGATGTGATTCGTATTAAGCACTACTCAGCGTAACTTACATTTGAGTAAATTTGAACAGACGCGTTTCGCCCACTAGCAGATCCATAGTCTGAACTTCCACAGACATCGGGCTGTCGCAATAGGAACCAGGTAAACCTGAAGATAATGATTGATGATTAGATAAAATATAGTAAATCCTCTTTGCAGGATCAGCAAAGGTTTTGAAAACTTTTGATATTTTTAATATAATATTTTCACGTGTCAAAAATCTAAAATAAATATTGAAAAACGAAATGCCATAGTTAAAAGACTATCGTGACCTTAGGATCCGGACCATCGATATGAGCGTTCCGTGCTGTTGCAGATTCGTATAACAATTGAGCTATGCCAGCGACTTCGTCCGCGAATAGTTTCAGGCAGTTCTCTTGCCCTTCGTCGAAAATTATTTAACTAATTTTCGTCGGTCGCGGCTCGACCTTCTTGCAAGTTAATCTTAAAAGATAGACATGTACCTACTGTCGCAGACATTTTTTTGGATAATTTAAAAAGAAATCATTCTATCGTACATATTATTTGGGTATTTTAAACCGTTTTCGCAGCACAATTGTTTAAATCGAATCAGTAGTTCCTGAAATTGCCGTGTTTAAACAAACAAACTCTCCAACTTTATATATTAGTATAGATTAAATTAAACCATAGCCACTAACAATAGTTTATATTTTCCTGGTAGATCGTCCGGCTGTGTACGCGATAGACCTTCGAAGGCTAGATTATCATAATAGTTATATTTCGTGGCTTATCAGATCATACATACATCACGTTCAAGCGTTAGTTCTGGTTATAACTAATTTAATAGTCATTGAAATCCCCCAAACCGCACTGAGGTAAAGTGGTGGGTCTAAGCTCTTCTTACGTGACAGAAGATCTATGCCCAGCGGTGGGAAACGACTTAAAACATTATCCAAAGATAAAGATACCTATTATAACGTAAATTGTGTCGATGGAGGTGGGCGAAGCCAACTACTGTTATGTATGTTAGTACTGTTCGTCTCAATGCTGGGGAAAAGACTTTTTTTTTAGATAACTTGACAGTCACGAGTATAACTATATTTAGAAAACATACAATAGATAAGCGTACATTTAAAGTTATTTACGTAGTAGTTTAAAACTAATAAATTTAACATCCTCTCTAAACAGATCAGATCAGATATAGTTTCAAAATTCGCTTACTGAATAAACACCCAATATAAAGCTAGATACTCACATATCAATAAAAATATGAAGATGTTCTTAACTAAATGACTAGAATTGGCATCGGCTCGGCGCGAAGACATGGTCACTGGAGACATCTTTGCTTCTTTAGCTTATCTGGAATGAAACATAATCATATTAATTTGTAAAGCTCGTTATCCGATAATATTTGAAATTTAAAAAAATAACTTCTTATTTAAATGGATATAAGTATATTTGTTGTGCACTGAAAAGTACAAAAAGAAAATGATACCATCATCATGTTTTACTAGTGTAGGCCTTTCATGTGATTCATTTGATGTGATTGAGGGGGTTAAGGAAAAATATGTAATCCGCCATTTTGTATCGGCGGCCATCTTGGATTTATAATATTATTGATTTTATTATATTGTATTGTCATCTAAATTAAAAGTGTGTACCAAATTTCAGATCAAACTGTTAAAAAACTTCAACTGGAGTATTATTAGTTGAGTTTCTTACGATAGGTATCCATGAAAATTCTTTGTAATTTAATTACAAATCGCCTCCATAGACTAAAACAGGAACTTGTCAATCTACAAAATACTAGTCTATTATCTGCATAGTTGTTAGTGCGAAATAAATTGTGTCGAATGTACGCCTAAAAATCGGCGCGCGCGCAAGGTCATCTAGTCTCCAAAATAAAAACATTCAACTTAAGGCATCGACCTATGTTAATCGGTAAATCAAATGAGAAATCATTAATTCATGTAGGTACCGTTAAACATGAATAGAGTTAGAACAAAAGATAAAAATTACTACCAGGTCTCAAATCAAGGGAGTAGAACAAAGAGAAGAACACCACAATATACTATCACCGTGTAATTTCACCTTATCACCAAATCACTAAAACGCACCCCTATGTTCAGCAAGATTGCAAAAACAATAACTACATTCACGCCGCGTCGGAGAAAATTGATTTTTTACGACCAAATCAGAGCGATAAAAGAATTCATAGCAACGTTAACAATTGCATTGAAATGTAAATTTTACAAAACTTAAATTTCAATGAAACACTTTAAGGGTTTAAAATGCGATATATATTAGTTAAACTATTTTTAACTGCGGCCCGACGTTTCGGATGCTTTGCAGCAGCCGTGGTCACGAGGAGACTAAACTTGGAGGATGTCTCTGACGTGCTACGTGCAAGTTTCAAAGCATCCAAAACGTCGGGTAAACGTAAACTAAACGTAACTAATATATAACGCGTTTTAAACCGTTAAAGTGTTTTATATACATGTGTACTACTCGCATAAACTACAGACATTAATCAATGCTTTTATACATTAGAATACAGACAGACAGACATTAGAATATTAGTACCATTTCTAAGCGTTCGTAACTACGAGTACAATGTATAACACGTTTTTCATTTACAAATTACATTAAGAATTCAATCAAAAACCTATTAAAATTCTAATTAATGTATTTAATGTTGCAATGTATATTAACCAAGCGCGTGCAGCAAAATTAGCACATTCACCTTAATAAACCAGCGTTTTAATGCAATTTTAACAGTTTTAAACGCGAAATATTGTTTATATACATGTTATTAATTAATGCTTTTCTGACTCCAAGGTTTGTAAAAGGCTTATAGATTTACCGTTTCAAACAGATAAAATGTTAAATGTCGATTTTTAATTTAATAAAATTACGACTCGGGAAGGACTTGAACCGGCATTAACAGCGTTCCGTGCTGTTGCTCTAACCAATTTAGCACCAAGTTGTAAATGTTTCAATTTATAATTTATATAGTGCCATCATGTGCAATAAAATTAAAAAAATATTTAAGTTTTCAACAGTTAAAATATTATTTTATATTTTTATTATTTTAGTTTTATTTTAATATAGACATTCTTAGTATGTTTATAATGTATTTTCTAGCACAGAGCAAATATAGCAAAATAAAATAATCAAATATATTTACAGAGTTGCTACAACGATTATTGACACGCAATAGCTAATGTAGGGTCATTATGTATATCCATCAGATCAATCAGCTCTTGACTAGATCAGATTTCTATTAGGACCTCGACGGGGCCTTCGCTTCAGTGTATCAATATGTAAAACCGGTCAAAAGGTAGTTTTATAGTGGTCTAATAATATAGAATAATAATTATTCAGAAACAACATTTACAGTTAAAACTTAATCCGATACAAATCTAACTAAAACAATATCAAAAAGTATACAAAGAATTAAAATTAATACTACATTATAGTTAGTTGCCTTTGAGCCACTAGCTACGTTGGGACATCAGTCCCAACACTGGTGTTCTGTGTTCCCTTCAATATTAAGTAGGACTGACAAGTCTGGAGTTCCCTTGATCGTAGGTGAAATTTCCCAGCCATATAACATCTAAACAAGATGTGCTGTCGAACTTTTTCAGCTTTGAATAAACCCACAGACTGTAACTTCGTGGTTTTTTATTCTGTGGTTCGTGACCCAGACGGAATTTCGTTATTCCTGCCATCTATTTAATATCACCAGACGACGTTCAATCTGAGTTAGAAAAATTATAAATCGATTAGAAACTTCTTGGACCGGTGGGGATCGAATTTGACAAATTTGTAATATTTATGAAAGAGATAGCTTGCGGTATTTCTTCTTTATCATCTGAACCGCATGCTTGTCTATCCTCTAGCAAAAAAAAATGGGTAAAACCTAAAAAAGACTAACCTCAAACGAGTCGTTAAGTTGGTCAATGACTACACTGAGTATACGTTGAAAGACGATTTTCTCTCCCGTACATGTGGAACGATACGCAAAAACTTGTCACCTCGAGCATTGTAATTAAACATAATTAAATTGCACTTTAACTGTATACAATTAAGGGTAATGTTCCAATGCGTTGATAACGGTGACAGCGGCTACGCTACATGCGTTTTGATGTGAAAGTTATGCAATTGTAAACGTATCGATGGACCGCCGTATCAAAGATAACAGAAATAAGTGGTACTTGAAGGGTAACATCGTTTATTGAACAACTAGATGTGCCAGCAACTTCACGTATAATATTTATTTTATTTTAGTTAATCTTAAAGATAGGCATATACTATCTCGGACATTTTTAAATTATTTAAAGTCGTTTTGGGGTATCTTGAACTCATTACACAGTGCACGCAGCGAATCTTCCCAAAGATGAATAATTTTCCAATTTCTTACACTTTTCTCACCGTTTCTTTACTCTTATTGGTCACATCGTGATGCGCTAACCTCACGAACTACTGGTTCTATTTGAAAAATATTCTTTATTTTTAATACACCATTTGTTGAGGAAAGCTTTGGGCTATATATCTAATATCAGCTGCTATAATAACAATACGAAACATTGAAAAATGTGGGAAAAACAGGGAAACGATTTATTGGTGAGGACTTCCGTTGCGTGCACTGCAAAAACGGTACACGAAACTAAAAGAATATGCATGAAATAAATATTGAGTCCTCGTTGATAAAAAAAGTCCGAACATTATATTAAAACAGTCATAACTTGCAATTTCCCAAGAGTGGTCTGTCTATAAATAGACAATAACTAACGCCTTACTATATTTTGTTCGCCAAAAACTTACAAAAAAAGTTTCAAACATACCCGGGAACCCACGACTGTATTGTTCAAGTAAGGAAACCGAGACACTAAGCTTATTTGAATATCTTTAAGGCAATTGCGTGCATAAAATAAAGTTTGCTTAGAATCAATAAAAGAATAAGTGAAGCGTTTAATCGTATTTATTTACGCGCAATTAAGCGTTAAACACTTAAGATACCTTGACAGTGATTACATAATTATCTTATCAATTCACGAGATCGCGTGGATCATTAGAATAATGAAATCCACGTAATATTGGAACACACCAGCCATAAAAAACAATATTTACGATCTATAATTTTGCCTTCAAGTAATAATCACGTACTCTCTTCTCACTCACTTTCATTCTCGATCATTACTGTAGTAGGAGTTAGTAGTATATTAGATGTATACTATTTATTTAGAATAAAATATGTTTGGCACTGAGATGTAGTCTTACAGGACAAGGATGGAATTTACTTAATGAAATACTCAAGCCACGTAATATCTCAAGAAGAATCGCTGTCAACCTATTTTGACTTTAGATTATAGTTTATACTTTTCTTTGCTGAGAAAGGTGCATGAAAATAAAATGGATGTTTTATCTTAATCTGCAATCGAAGGATCTATCAACTAAAGCCAGCCACAATGCAGTCTAGATTGGTTTATAGGCTTTCTAAATTGATGAACTAACTTTAATCCAACAAACGCAGTGAAACCGTTTCCCCGCGGGGAATGGGGCGAACATTTCAGTGACCGTTTCACTGGTCGGTTCAATCACATGCAAGTTGATAAGATTTCTCTGCCGTGCCCGATCGAAATAACCTATGTTTTGCCCGGGATTTGAACCTAGGACCTCTCACGCTTAAGGCAATGCTAGGCAACCCGTTCGACCCATTTGGCTAGAGAGACGGTTGAGACCGGCCTTAAATATATACGTTTACTAAAATGATCACTTTCAAGCAAATACCTGTGTTTACTGCTGTTAGCATTATAAACTATCGTCTTACATCCGCGAGGATGTTTAACACGTTTTCTATTGTCTCTCGCGATGTTTCCCACAATTGACACGCCGGAATTTTTCACTTTGGTGACTATTTGAAACTAGTAAACGTAGCATTCAAAAACATTAAGGTGACTCAATTTAGTTCAATGACACAGCTGTTTATTACATATTTATATAGACACTCAAATGTGTGCATTTCAACATATTTTTAGTTTTTAATAGTGTATATTTAAATAAAACACTTTAACGGTTTAAAACGCGATATATTAGTTAAACTTATTTGGAAATGATTTTTAACTTCGGCACGACGTTTCGGATGCTTTGCAGCAGCCGTGGTCACGGAGAGTGTATATTATATTATACTTTAGCTTTGGATGTTCGGAAGTCTACAGATGGTAACCGAAACACGATTAAACTTCACCGCTTTTTCCTTCATTAGAACCATGTTGGACCCAAAGGGGATCGGACCTACAACTCATTACTACGATTAGACCAGCGAGTCCCCAAAAAA